CCGACGCCCCCGCCGAAAATCTGGGCAAAATGCAAGCTAGAGATAATCTTGCGTTCCAGCAAGGTGCCCCCGAAATCGCCGCGAACATAACGGTGGCGGGCACGTATACGCAGCCCGACAGGCCCTGCAACTGCTTGGGGTACCTGCCTACGACGCATACAATCCACTCGTCCCCGCTCAGTGCGAGGTGCATCGCGTAGCAGCTCAGTAGAGCCAGTCTGGAGCAACCGCCGCACACCGCGACCCCTGCGCCAGGCCACTCGGCGGCCACCCGGCCAGCGAGAGCCTGCAGCGCCAGGTTGATGGCCAGGAGGCAGAACTCTACTGCCACGTCAAGCACGCGCTCAATGGGGTGCTGCACTGCGGCGTCCACCAAGCGCGCCCTAAAGCGCAGCGCGCACCAGAGCAGGCACAGCTGCACGATCGATGTCAGGGCGAAGCTGGCCCTCTTCTAATTGCGGATGCGCGCGCCAGCAGCAGCCCGGCGACCGCATTCAAGGCCGCGAGGAGCACGTAGGCGGGCAGGGCCCAGCCGGACTCGAGAAGTCAGTGGCGCCCGAGCAGGGAGCCCAGCACCAGCAGGCCGCCGAGCAGGAGGCTGGCCACGCCAAAAATCCTGTGCGGCAGCAGGCGGAACGGCGTCCTCCAGCGCAGTCCCGCCCAGCGTCGACGCCATACCGGTGACGATGGGGGGCGCTCGCTCTTGGCGGCCATGGAGTGCATGCACAGCAGAGCTCCTCTTCCTCCACCCTCCTCCCTCCTTTGCCCCCCGATCCGAATGGGCGCTCGGCTCGAGCCCCGAAAGAGGCTTGAGCCAAAATGGCTACGGGGTCTTCATAAGCTATTTTAGCACCATCTTTGGGACCTCCTGGGCCATTGGAACCAATCTGGGGGCATCTTGGGCTGTCTTGGGCCCCTCTCAAAAGCTCTGGGGCAGTGCCGGGGCTGTTTGGGGCCATCTTGTGCCGTCTTCCGGGGGCCCTGTTGGCCCGGCTTGGCCCTTACTGGGGCCCTCTTGGGGCTCTGATCGGCCGCCTAGTGGCGAGCTTCGCGGCCCCTTAACCCGTCATGGCCGCCTTGAAGAGCGGCAGAACAAAAATGTGCGCATCATACAACAGCCTATGGAAACTCACTGACAGTTGCCTGCTGATGGGGGATCTGGGATGCTCTTCGGGCCCCTTGAGCCCGTCTAAGCTGATTGGCCAGAGACGACCCCGAAAGGAGCTAGTTGGCCATCTCGAGACGTCCCGGAAGGACTCGGGCACGGGCACTCCTCATCGTTGTGAAATTCCTCTTTCGGTTGGGGCAGTGCCGTGGCCGTCTTAGGCGCATCTTGGGCCGCCTTGAGGACCTCTTGGATTTCTTGGGCCGTCAGATAGTAGGTTGACGCCTGGTGTTACATGGGTGGCTTTTCATGGGAGCACCCAGTAATCATGTTGCTCATGTAAGGCCTACTACGGCCAAGTAAGGAGCGCTGCGGCACACATCGCACGCCTGCTTGCGGCGGACCCTTGCCTGCGTTGGAGACACGCGGAATGCGCCCACCAACGCTGAAAAGGAAAGGAGGCAATGGCGATGGCGAAGTTAGAAGGCCAAACCCTCCGGCGCAAACTTCGTCACCAGAAAGCGCGCCGATGGGGTGGTCCTGAATTGGCCTTCATTGGCTCTAATGACCTTGAATGGCCTTATATGACCTTGATTTGCCTGGAATGACCTTGAATAGCAGCGGCACGTGGTCCTTAGTTGGCCTGAAATGATCCTAAATGGCATGGAGTGGTTCGTCGTGTGCTGATTTTGAGCTCCCAGGGAAAGCCACCCGGTGCCCGTGCGAGCATGCTCTTCGTGGGGCGGGGGCCCCCAGCTGATGGGGCTGTACAGACAGGAAGTGCGGAGGGGAGACGACTACCGTGGCGATCGCCATCAGCGTCGTCACCGCCCGCCGCATCGATCATCGCTTTCGTCAGCGTGCTCTGCGGGACGCTTACCCCGGCCAGGGTCCAAATCGGCAGGCCGACGATCGGCCACGCTGCTGGGACAAAGGGTCAACAACATTTGACCCCCTTGAGTATCGTTTAACCGATCCCCATCCCCAGCGGCGTGGCCTGGGCACCACTGGCCGATTTACCCCCTGGATGGGGATATAGGTCGTTCCCTTCGGGTTTCGAGGGGTGTATCCCCAGCTGGGGTGGTAATTTGGTGAGGGTCTCGAACGGGAGGGGGAATGGGGATGCGGAGGTCCGAGGGGAGGGGGAGGAGGAGGAGGAGGAGGAGGAAGAGGAGGAGGAGGAGGAGGATGAGGTTAAACGATGCTGACCCCTGGGGGCGGACGGAGGTTTGAGACCGCACCTCCACGGAAGGAACGCCCCGCGGGCAGAGAAGCACGACCCGGCACAGCGTGGGCTCGCCTCGGCCTCTGTTCGGCGGCAAGCTGGGGATGCCAATAGAGGAACAACGAATTGCATAAACATAAAAACTCGGAAACCGAAGGTTTTCGGAAAATCCTTCCGAAACCGAAGGTTTGTGAAGGATTTCGGCATGCGCGCGCGACGTCGCGCGCGTGTGCACTTCGTCTCATTTGTTGCCAGGCATTCTTGACATCTTATGATATTTGATAAACGAGTGTGCGCGCACAGCATTTTTGTCAGGAGGATGGTGGCGGGGGGGCGATACCAGTTTGGCTGGGATCACACGCATTCGCAACTCGGATGGACGATGGTGACGAATCATACGTAAATTGCAATGCGAAAAAATAGATATTCAACCCCTGGGGGGGGAGGGTGGTAGGACCTTTTTTTTTCCTTCATAAGACAGGGGCGTATATGTTGTGCCATCTATGCGATGCAATATGCGAGGCGCATATCTGCGAGGCTCACGCAGCCAAACTTGCAACCAGCATGCGGCGGCGCCGGGCGACGGCGGGCGGCCACAGGCGCGGCGACCGACACCCAGGCCCAAACAGCAGCGGGGGGCGGACGGCGGCAACAGGCGGCCACGAGCGCGGCGACCGACACCCGGGCCCAGACGCAGCGGCGGCGACGGGCGGCGACGGCGGCAACAGGCCCGCCAGACCGACACCCAGGCGCAGCTCTTATTCTTATTTCTTGGCCAAGCACAAGCCCTTCAGTGCAAGCAGGGCGTGGGGGATGTTGTAGCTCTGGTCGATGCGCACGCTTGGATACTGATGCGGCTCTCCAACAACTCGAGCAAGCACGGGGTGCGAGAGGGAACGCTTAGGGAGTTGAAGGACCCGCCCTTCGCAGTGACCTGAAGATGCTTTTCGCTTCGACGGTAGGTTGGATGGTCGTTGAGGTTGGCACACATCCGAAACCATGATTTCTGATACCACGCGCCGTCCATCATGTAAGGACAAGGCAATGCATGTGCGGGTTGGAAACAGGATCCAGAAATTCAACTGGGACGACTCTAAGTTACATTCAGACATGCGTAACCCCTTCTTCTGAAATTCTGCAACGTACGTCCAAGCTGCGGGATTACCGATACCGTTTTCGACGGACTTTCAACAGCCAATGCAATTTCGAAGAAAACTTCAACAAGAAGGTCTGGCCGTTCATGCGGGAGCTCTCCGGGCCAGAGGTTCGCAGTCACCTCTTTCCACGTCGAATTCGCGGTCATCGTGGCAAAGAAACTAGAAACACGAGTGCGCTTCGCGCGCTTAGGTTCTAGTTTAAGGGAGTTGCCTTATGCTCATCCTATGCGCACGCTTCATCTTCACAGTCCCATTCGTCTCATTCCTCCTTGCTCTCTCCCTCCTCCTCCACCTCATCATCAGCAGCAACAGCATCCTCATCATCACCATCACCATCACCATCTTCATCACCATCACACCATCATCAAAGTCACAACCACCACCCATCATCACCATCATCATCACCACCATCATCCTCACCATCAACATCATTAGAATCATAATCAGCATCAGCATCAGCAACATCATCATCATCATCATCATCATCATCATCATCATCATCATCATCGTCATCCGCATCCGCATCCGCATCCGCATCGGCATCCGCATCCGCATCATCCTCATCTTCATCCTCATCCTCATCATCATCACCAGCAACACCAACATCAGCAGCAGCATTATCATTGTCGTCATCACCGCCATCATCATCATCATCATCATCATCATCATCATCATCATCATCATCATCATCATCATCATTATCATCATCCTCTTCTCCCCACTACTCCGAATTTGAAAAGTTTCTGCAGAATTCACGTCATCCTGACCCTCGGCGCGCGAGGAAATGTGGCTGACAATGACGCTTCTAACGTTTCCTGGCGAATCCAGCGAATTTGGCGGCTGCGCCAGATGAGTGCCTCCTAACGCCGGTTCTGGCGAATCTGGCGAATCAAGCACACGCCCCTTCTATGTGTATATATATAGACATCATCTACAAATACGGAAATCTTTTATGTATACGGAAACTCCCGCTGCTTTGCAGAGCGCCTGGCTAGTGCTCATCCTCATTACCCATTGAAGGAGCAAGGAGGGAGGACGACAAAACGAGCAGGGCCCCCAGCAGACCGTCAGGCAAGCCCAGACGGCCAGAAAGGTTCCGAAAGCATTCCAGGCGGGCACGGGCTTTCATCCAGCCCCGCCAGGAAAAACCAGCAGTCGTATTTGTTTTCACGAGCTGTGAGTGCCCTTGTCTTCCCTCCTGTCCTCCGCGGTCTCTCCTCCTCCTCCTCCTCCTCCTCCTCCTCCTCCTCCTCCTCCTCCTCCTCCTCCTCGCGCGCCCACTCTTGCCGCCGGACAACAAATGTGTCGAGCGCCCCCGACAACTCGAGTGCCCGTGCAGACTGCCTCTGCCGTGCCGCGACGAAACAATTGCTTTTGCCACGAGGAGGGCGAGGGCGAGGAGGGCGAGGGCGAAGAGGAAGGCGGGCAGGGCGAGGGCGAGGAGGAGGGCGAGGGCGATGGGGGCCGAGGGCGAATCCCCTCTCGCCCCGGGCCGCCGCCGGCGGCAGGGAGCCTGAGCCTCTCGAGCATGCCCTGGATGCTCGCCAGGGTGGCGCGCGCGCCCTCCAGGTCCGCGTCGGGCACGCCGGCGGCCTCCGCAAGGCGCCGAGTGATCGCCGCCGCCGCCGCCGCAGCCGTCGCCGTCGTCGTCGTCGTCGTCGTCGCCGCCGCCGTCACCTCGAAGCCCCTCGGACATCCAGGCAACGCTGGATAGCGTTTGCTCTGCCATCTGCGGCGCGTAGGGGCCCGTTTGGAACCCTGGGGCCGTCAAAGAACGGCTTGGGATGAGAAGCTGGTCCCCAGGAAAGGGTCGCGAGTTCCAGAGGGCCACAAATTGGGAAGGTCACGTCATGGGAAGACAGGATGCTTCTCAGAAGGGGGGCTTCTGAGAAGGTGCCTTTGAAGGGCGGGGCGGGCTTCTAGAAGGCCCCATCCTCGCCCCATCCACCAGTGCGCGCCGTCAAGTCTCGAAGTTCGCGGCTCGCGGATCGAGCCCAGGGATGAACGCGTCTGGGCGGCTGCTCCTCTTTCTGGGCCTCCAGGTGCGCCCTCGTCGCCGCGGCTAGATACACCTCGACGTCCTGTTCGGATCGCGCCCCAGGACAGGAGGAGATCGTCGTCGTCGTCGTCGTCGTCGTCGTCGTCGTCGTCGTCGGGTGTTCCTGGTACTCCACGTTTGCTGATGAGCGTCCGGGCTTTTTCCCGTCGGCCTCGCCCCGTCGGCGCGCCGCGCAGGGGGGGGGCTGCCCACCATGGGCGCGCGCGGGGGGCTTGCCCGCGAGGGGCTCCTCGGCGGGGGGCGCCTCCCCACCCCAGGCGGCCATCTGGCGGAACGCAGCATGACAGTGGCTGTTCTCGGAGGTGCCTCGGAAGTCTTCGGCGGCACGAGGAAGCCAAAATAGACGAAGAAATAACGACATGAACAGAAATGTTTGGCGCTCCGCGCGGATTTCTTGGATCCGCGCTGGGCCCCCCCGGCGGCGCCTCCAGCGACGCCCCTGGCCCGCGAGGGGGGTCCAACGCCGATCTGGGGAATCCGCGTGGACCTCTGAGTTGTTTGTTGCATGTTAATGTTATTGTTCGTTCCCCTGGCAGGTGTTTTATGATGCCTGGCTCTAGAGCATGCTGCGGCCCAGCAAGGCCATAATGATCGGGCCGCTCTAAACGACGACGAAGAGCGTTCCAAGAAGTGATGACACCAACGAGAAGCAAGACGCTCTACAGGATGGGGGCGAAACGCAACACGGCGGGCGCAAGCTGAGCATTTTCTTAGGGTGGAGGGCTCAAGGTGAAATCCATGTGGGCCTTTGCACCTCGAATATCAATCCGTCTTGTGATCCACATGTTGCAGATTCAAGCTTCGAAAACCAATCGAAAGGATTTTCAGATTTCACCCTTTGCCCTCCACCCACAGAAAATGCTCGGGCAAGGTGACGATAGCAGAGCGCAGGCCAAAAAGCCCAGACGCCGCTGATAGTACGAGGCGACCATGTGGGGTCCAGCCTGCCGGCTGCGAGGCCACTCCAACATATCCAACTTGACTGAAGGCGCCGATCCAAAGGAGCCCCAACACACGGCCGCAAGAGCTACAAAACGTCTCGAGAAGGACCTCTGGCTTAAGCCTCGCCGCCCGTGGTTGTGCATATGTGACAGGCCAAAGCCCACGGGACCACGAAAGGATGATGCCTGCATGATGATCACGAAGCGATGCCACTGCCGGCAGGAGACTCCCGCCGCCGGGAGAGGTCGAACTCAAGGGTCGTATCGTCCCACGGCGGACGCTGTGAAAGACGTGTCGGCCCCCGCGCACACGCAGAAAATGCGCACGAAGAAAAAAACGCTTACTAGCTAAAATCGAAAGCGGCTGGCTCGGCCGTGCGGCGGGAGTTGTCGCGTCAAGAACAAACCCCTACCCGGGACGGCAAAACATCGGTGCGGGCAGATGTTGGATCCAAAACTGAGCATGCTATTTTGTCTGGCAGGGCAGACGGCAAGGCATGATAATCCCGAGGCACGATTAGAGCTTAAATTGTGTGGCAAGCTTCCGCATGACTCTTTAAGGAACGGAGGGGTATCTGTCTCGTCCTGGTTCTCATATCCTGACCCCTCTCCTCCTCCTCCTCCTCCTCCTCCTCCTCCTCCCCCTCCCCTTTCCGTTCCTCGTTGCGCTTCCCCCTGCGATGCAGGAAGGCTGTCCTGCGAACGCGGCCGAAACTCGGGAGACATATTCAGCCCTTCGCGGAGATGGTCCAGGGTGCCACGGCACTTTCGCACGATACTTTCCCTCCTCTTCCGTCCTCCTCCCACAAACCGCACCATGTGGTCAAGCGTCCCCAGACCCCCGATGTCGTGACTTGTTTCGCAACGTAGACCCCCAAGGGCCTGGACCCCTGCCTCAGAGTCGTTATTGAACGGTCAGGTTCACTCAGTGATGGAGCGTTCAGTCGGGCTGGCGGGCGGGATGGTATATGCAACCTTCAGTCAGTGATGGGGCCAGATGCGGGGAGCAGATCTCACTACCACCAGGGAACACCGTTCGGGCGGGCGGAACAGTAAATATACAATTCGCTCAGTGATGGAGCGTTCAGTCGAGCTGGTGAGCGGGACAGTTCATGCAACCCTCACTCAGTGATGGGATATCGGGGGAACAGAGATCACTACAACCAGGAGACGCCGTTCGGGCGGCGGGACAGTAAATATACGATTCACTCAGCGATGGAGCGCTCAGTCGGGCTGGCGGGCAGGACATTAATTGCATACAAGCTTTACCTTGTGATGGGGCGTCATCATCATCACCACCCATCACCATCACCACCATCACCACCACCACCACCATCATCATCCCCATCATCCTCATCATCCTCATCATCATCATCATCATCATCATCGTCGTCGTCGTTGTCGTCGTCGTCGTCGTCGTCGTCGTCGTGGTCGTCGTCGTGGTCGCCGTCGTCGTCGTCGCCGGCCGCCCCCGCCGCCGTCGCCATCCCCTCTTGCACTCAGGGGGGGGGGGGGCGTCCCGTTTCGAACCCCCATCACCCCATTGAGTAGCCCCTCCCCTTGTTCGGCCCCCACCCCCTCCCTGGACAGGGCCCCCCCCCCTGATCGAACCCCCCACCCCCCTCCACCCAGGGGGGGTCTCCCCCCCCGTTCGAGCCCCCCCTCCTCTGGGCAGGGGGGTGGGCCCCCCCCTGGTTCGAACCCCCTCCTCCCCCCCTGCAACTCAGGGGGGAGGCTTCCCACGGTTCGACTCTCCCCCCTGCATCTCAGGGGGGGGCACCCCCCCTGGTTCGACCCCCCCCCCAGTTCCCAGCGTCAACAGAACGCGCCCTTTCACATATATATATATATATATATATATATATATATATATATATATCGGGGTCAGTCACTGTCCCTGGGTGCGTGGCTGATGTGGAATTCCGCGGTGCGGATTCTTGTTGTTGTTGTTGTTGTTGTTGTTGTTGTTGTTGAACATTATTACTTCTAAAGAATAATTATTGTTGGGGGCCCCTGGTGCGCGACCCCCCTCCAAAACCTAGGCCGCAGCTACATTTTCATCATTTTTTAGCGAAAGCTTCAGAAAAGTGAATTATTACCGGATCCGGTTGTTTTGTTGTACTCCGTTTTCCCTTGCAAAAAACACTATAAAATGAAAATTCTTGTTCTTACTTGATCAAATTGCAAGAATCCCTTGCAAAAAATAAGGTAAAGTGGACATTCGTGCGCGCAAGACGAAATCCTTCCAAAACCTTAGTTTCGTAGCGATTTTAACATAAAAACATCAAAAACCCAATGGTTTTTTAAGAAAAAAATGTCAAAATGTCTTCCGCGCGCTCTTGCGGATTCGTAGGAAAACCAACACTTTTTAAACAATTCTGTCAAACGGGCTTTTGCGAGCAACTTTTTCGAACTTCTGCGACAACGGTTGCGCACCTGCCAGGGCCATCATCCCTGTCAAATAATACCATGCGGGACACATTCGTTTTTTCTTCGCGCGCGCACGCCGAAATCTCCAAAAACCATTGGGTTTTTAAGAATTTTAGCACCGCGCATCATAAAATCACACGAATCGCACCGTAGGTCCTCGAAAAACACCTGCACGACTTTTCAAAATTTCCACCCGCGCGCGCTGTCTCTCTCTCTCTCTCTCTCTGTCTTTGTACTATGTATGTCATGCGCAACAAATGCACGATGCGGGGCACATGCGGGGCCCAAACAAGTGATCAACCTCTGCGGGTGTGTACTCCACGCCAGTGTAGTATCCACGATCGTCCGCGCGCCACGAAGTGAAGTGTCCTGACGTCATAGGGCGGGAAGCTGGGTGTGGGTGGTTCCCGAGAGTCGTGTGGATGTTTGGTAGAGCTTGCATTGCCCCCCCACGAAGTGGGGGTATTGGCTGGCGTCGCATGAAAACCCTGGCACTGGGGAGAACACTGAGCGTTCGGGTAAAATGATTGTTGTTGTTGTTGTTGTTGTTGTTGAACATTATTACTTCTAAAGAATAATTATTGTTGGGGCCCCTGGTGCATGGCCCCCCCGCCGCGCCTAGGCCGCAGCCACATTTTCATCATTTTCGTGAGGAAGTCTCAGGCAAAACGATGTCATCCAGATCCGGTTGTGTTGTTACGATCGGTTTTCCCTTGCAAAAAATAGGCTAAAGTGGACATTTCTTGTTCTAACATAACCAAACTTCAAGAATCCCTTGCAAAAAATAAGGTAAAGTGGACATTCGCGCGCGCAAGACGAAATCCTTCCAAAACCTTAGTTGTCGTAGCGATTTTAACATAAAAACATAAAAAAACAATGGTTTTTCAACAAAAAATGTCAAAATTTCATCCCGCGCGCTCTTGCGGATTCGTAGGAAACCCAACACTTTTTAAACATTTCTGTCAAACGGGCTTTTGCGAGCAACTTTTTCGAACTTCTGCAACAACGGTTGCGCACCTGCCAGGGCCATCATCCCTGTCAAATAATACCATGCGGGACACATTCGTTTTTTCTTCGCGCGCGCACGCCGTCGTCGTCGGCCGCGGGGCCCTGAATAGTAGCCACGGTCGTCCGCATGCCACGAAGTGAAGTGTCCGAACGTC